TGACACACTGTCTGACTTTGTAGTGGAGTCGTGTGGTTATATTTCCAATTCTGTGCTTGGATGTACCAGTGAGCAGCAGGGTGGAGAAGGACTTTCTCAGTATTGTAATGTAGTATTAGAAAACCTTTTTCAAGTTGAAATTCTCTGTCGCTTTCTCACCTATGTCTCTGCCTGATTGTATTTGTTTTTGTTTTACCATTAGATGTCGATATTTGCTGTGTTAGCATTGCTACTGCGTAGCAAACCTCATGTTTTGGCTAGTGGATTACCGTCTCAGGGGAAGCAGGCTCTTCCACTTACAGTTTGGATGATAAAACAGGTTTGGTTTGTGTGATCCCTCTTTACGACCAAGAGTCTCGAGTTTTGTGTATTATGAAAGTTATATCAACTATAAAACGTGGACAGGCCTCCCAAGGTGATTTACATGTAGGTTTGTATTCATGGGTGCATTACTTGTTACCACTACTCAATAGTGACCCCCAGTGGAGGTGTCTCATCCTAAAGTTGGTTGATATATATATAATCATCTGATTTTGTTGTTGATGTGTTAGATTCGGGTTTATTATGGGCTTCCAACTTAAAACCAATTGGTGATTAGTGGATTGGCTCCAACCCTTTATATAGTAGTAGATTAATTCTTATATTTCCGATGTGGGATGTTTCTCATCAATACCCTCCCTCACGCTCAGACATCTCTAGGTCTGATGTTATTCCCACTGTCTGAGCGTGGACAATGTGGGAATAACATCAACGGAGGGCCCAACATCGGTATAGTAGTAGTTGTAGTAGTAAATTAGGTCAAAGGATCTTATCGCTCTGATACCATGTTAGATTCGGGTTAATTATGGGCTTCCAACTTAAAACCAATTGGTTATTAGTGGATTGGCTCCAACCGTTTATATATCTTCTATATTAAAAGAGAAGTACCATTTATATCTACTACACAAAAGTCATTTTGGACCATTTCATTAATAAGACATATTTGATTATTTATATTAATCAATCAAATATATATTACTGGAAAAATATTTTATTTTTATTTAATATAGAAGATAAGATATTAGTAGTAAATCAATTTGAATATAAATTTATATTTTAATTTTATTTATAACTAAATCTGTTGAGAAAATATCTAACATGATCTTACCAAGAATTTTAAATATTTTTATAAAATNTAGTAGTAAATCAATTTGAATATAAATTTATATTTTAATTTTATTTATAACTAAATCTGTTGAGAAAATATCTAACATGATCTTACCAAGAATTTTAAATATTTTTATAAAATATATATTATTTAATTTCGTGATTAATATATATATATATATATTAATGTTAATTAAAAATAAAAATTGGTATATTTTATAATTTAATGATATTCTATTTTATATTAAAAACAAATGCTATGTGAAATGAATCTAAAAGTATATCAAATTGGTAAAGAAAAATATTTTATTTTAAAAATTTCTTTTATTCACTGTTAAAACATATTAATTTTTTTAAAACATGTAATATTTTTATACAAAAAATGTTAACATATATTTTTGTAACTCACAACAAATACATTATCTAATATGTATATATATATATATATAATTTTTTTAAAAAATTACAACAATATATTATATAAAAATAATTAAAATGATAAGATTATATAGTTATAGAATATATAACAATAAATGTAAATCATATATTTGAAAGATTTTGTTATATTTTTATAAAATAAAAAAATACCCGCACGGATGTGCGGGGTCAAAATCTAGTTAGTAGATTAATTCCTATATTTCCAATGTGGGATGTTTCTCATCAATATGATGCAATTTTCTTATCAGAATTTTGGAGAAACCAGGGGCTCTGACCAAACTTGAAAAACATCCTGTTTGGAGGAAACAGTGTCTGATTCCACCTTCTTCATTTGAGATCTTGCTGCGGCTTATATTCTCTGCTACCTCCCCAACAGAAGAGGTAGGCCGTATAATCGAATTGTTGGAACATTAAGCAAAAAAAAAAGGATGTGTTTAGCCTTTATCGATTCTGATCACAAAGCGTGATCTCTGCATTTTTACAGGATACAACAAGGTTTGTGGAAATTTATGGCTCTTTGAAGAGAGTGGCTCTTGCCGGTGCACTAAAAGAAAAGACAGACATTCATCAGATATTTCTTTGAGATTAGCTGGAGAAGGTAATAAGTAAAAAATTCATTTGAGTTTTGCTGTTCCTCTCTCTTACTCTAAATTGAGTTTGTAAATCTGTTTGCAGGAAATCCAGTTTTGTCCAAGGAGGCTTCAGAAATAGCTATCTGGTCTCTGACCATAAACGTTGGTTGCTGGAAGCTCTGGTACAAAATATCCAAAGATAACCTAGAAGCTAGTGTTGTTTTTCTGAAGACGCTTGTAGAGAAATGGAATGATCATTCCCTCAAACTACTACTACCATCATCACCACCCAACGCAATGGGACAATTCATTTAACGTCTATTCGATATCTCTTTGATATTAGCTGGAGAAAGAGGTATTAGTAACAAACAGAACCTTGAACTGAATCCAATCCTTAAGTTTTCTTCTCCAAATTTGAGTTTTGTAATCTGCTGCTACCCCATTGCTATAGGAAATCCTGTTGTAGCCAGAGAAGCTGCAAAAATCGCTATCTGGTCGCTGACCAAAAACTTTGCTTGCTGGAAGCGCTGGGACTATCTCTATGAGGAGGATCTAGAAGCTAGTGTTGTTGTTCTTGAAACTCTTTTAGAAGATGGGAAGTATTCTTTCCTCGAGCTATCGTCGAGTGATACTCTCACTGTTAGTCAAATTATGAAGAGCTTCTTGTTAAGGGGAATGCCTCTTAGTCTTCTATGCTTTAACTACTTTCACCATCCACTCGGTTGTAATTTTCATATCTGCTCGGGAACCTGTGGTGTTTTCTTAGAACAATGAAGGCATCAATGCAGGAGGAGCCAATGGTAATCTTTACAAAGAAGCTGACAAGTCCTGCAAAGTGATATTAGGGAGGATCTCCCCTGGAAGTTGCAGCAGCAGCAGCCCAGAGGTGCATGCATTACTTATGTTGTTCTAGGTACTGTTACTGTACTGGTTCTGTTCTATTGTTTGGTTTTCATTGGTAGAGCCAACTCGTGATTATCCTGAGGGTTTGTAATTACAATTACAGTTGGGATTTAGGAGTCTGTTTAAAGCACGTCGGTTCTTACAATGTTTCATTTGTGTGGAGATTATTTATACTTTCTGTTTCTTTATGCTTAAATAATGACTAAAAACATACTTTTTAACATAATGGTTCTCAAAAACTTATGTAAGAGAAGGAGGAATTTGTTAGTACCAGAGACAAAGAGGTAACTGGAGAAAAGATATACACTAGCTGGGAAGCAAAAGATTGGATCATAAGTCAACAGGGACACCGAAGGCAATAACATCAAAAAGTTCTGTTTCACGTAGATAAAGACCGAGAGTAGGTACGTAGCACATGAAACTGCTTAGATATATCCTGATGATAAGAGATTCTAAGAACATGATAAATGGGAAGAGTTCTTAAAGTGGAGTTCTTAGCAGAATATAAGAAACTGTTGTTAACTTTTAACTAAAAGAAATTAAGAACCTGTTCTTAAATAAAACATTAGTTTTAGAAAATGTATAAAGAAAAGAAAACTAAATTCATGCAAACAATATACAACTAAGAGAGGAATAATTTTACTGAACTTGTTCCAGTAGATTGTAATTTAAAGAAAATCTATGTGATTTATTATTATAGTTAAATTGAGGGAAATTAAATAATTATGTAGTTTCTAACATGATTAGTAAAAAATGTTGCAAAATTTTATGAAAGTTAATGCTATTTTAGTTAAATGTAAATTAAACATTTAAAAAGTTTTGTAGTTATTTAATTTACTCGCCCGCCCGTATGACAGATTTACCCTAGTTACAAATATAATTAAATTGGTGCGGTCACATAAATCACAATCATTTTTTATCTATTTACAATTATTTTATTATAAATATATCCAAACTATCACTTTTATCTATTTATATAGTATATAAGTATAGAAATAAAATACATTTTTCATTTAAATATATATTAAATGATGTTTTTACTCATATATACACTTTTAATCATTTATATCTTTTTGGAACAAATTTTTATAATAACTCATAACAAAATTTGCAATGTGGAATGTTTAATATTTTTATTAATTTATAATCGTTTCTAAAAAAATTGATACAAAGTTCAAACTTAAATTAAGTTCTTAATGTTTGTTCAAAGTAAATTTTAGAATTCAAATCTTTATGTATTTTATATTTATATAGTTTAGTTTAATCAATATTAAAATATATATATTTAATCTTCATTATTCAAAATCAGCAATTGTTATATACTTTAGTTATACATTAGGTAGTTTCGTAGGATTTATTTAAGAAAAGAATGGAAAACATTAATAAATAGTTTCATCATTAGTTTAATGATAAGTTTAGTATATATTTTGAAGGACAAACATATTTTTTTAGGAAATTTGAGAAGTAATCTATTAATGATATGTGTTATAGTTAAAATGTTGTAATGTTTCTATTTTAATATATAAGAGATAAGAATGGCAATCAAGATGAAAACTTTCTACCAATTGTTACCATGTTTCAACTTCATACATTGGACAAATTAATCGAGCTACTGGATGTAGTTGTCCATAAATGCGTTAAATTTTACTTAAACAATCTTTTAAAAAAAAAAAAGAACTGAAAACTAGTGGACACTCGAGCTCGAGATTTAGTTGGTCAAAATCATTACACTAATGCAGTATTCTCTTAATTGATGCAACTTGAGTGTGGAGCCACTCGTTTGCTCTTTTAGCAGAAAAGAGAAGGCCACTGGTTATGCATAGATGAACGTATGCCTTTGTTTTTATGTGTGGTTCTCTTTTCTTATCCAGCAATTTTGCCACATTCCTTCATTATATATCCAGACAAAACCTTTTATTCACATCAGGAGAAGTAGAAGAAGAAACAATGTCTAAACTAGAAAACAAAAAGCAAGAAGAAGAATCATCAACTACAACGGCATGGCCGGGTATTGAAGAAGAACTCGTGATACCTGAGCTTTTACATAGCGAAGGCGTGAAGAAACTTCACATGAGCATACAAAACGAGTGGGATTACCTTCAGAAGTCAGCGTGCCAAACTGCTGCAGGAAGAGCTCTTTGGAAACATGTCATTCACGATCCTCTCGCTCACTTGTTTGCTGGAGAGACACATTTGAGAAACCTACACACAAAGATTCAGAGAGACCGTCTCAACAATGCTCGAGAGGTCTCTGGTGTGATTCTAGCTGTTCGAACTCTTTGGTTTGATACAAGGATCCAAGCTGCTCTAGACTCTTTCCAAAATGATGCTTCTCAAGTTGTTCTACTTGGTGCAGGTTTGGTTTCCCTATTTTTTATCATATTTTTTTGTAGGAAACAAGAATAAAAGATAATTAGTAGCTAATTTGAAAATTTCAGGAATGGACGCAAGATCATACAGACTAAACTGCTTAAACAAAAGTGATGTATTCGAAGTGGACTTTCCCGATGTCTTGCAAACCAAAACAAGCCTGGTCCAAGCTGCAGTAAATTCAAGAGAGGAGCTTAAGATGACAGCCAAATCACTAATCAAAGTGGCAACTGATATCAGAGACAAGGATTGGTTTGAAAAGCTTAAGAAATCAGGTTTTGTCCCAGAGATAAACACTGTATGGGTTCTTGAAGGCATTCTCTATTACCTGTCTCACACAGAGGCAATGCAAGTACTGAATCTCATAGCTGAGAAATGTGCAGTGACCAGCACGGTTCTCTTGGCGGATTTCATGAACAAACCTTCTGCTTCTCTCCCCAACTCTGTGTTCCACTTCTACAGTGACTGGCCTGATCAGCTCTTACCATCCTTGGGGTTCTCTCATGTCAAGCTTTCACAGATTGGTGATCCAGATGCAAATTTCGGTTTGCTGCACAATCCGCTCAATCTCTTTAACAAGCTTCTTCTCCTGCCAAGAACTGTACAGATCCATCCAGACGATGGAACACCCTGCTGCCGTCTGTATTTGGTCGAGGCTTCTGGTTCACCCCCTCCAGATAAAACAGTGTGAGCTTGTAAGCTGACTTATTCCACTGCAACGCTTTTTCAGAACAAGTATATGAGTTTTTCAAACCATAGAAACTATGTAGGAGATTGTTGGCTATTTGAATGTATAAAACAATTGATATGAACAAAATCACTATATATTAAACCATGCATTTTTTTCTTGTTTATCTCCTTAAAAATTCAAACAACCTTATAAGTGATAGTGAAGCCAAGAATCAAACGTATGATGATTATATTCAAATAAAATGAGATGTATCTCAGTTTCTACATATTGTAACAAAATGTTAGGTACAACTAAACAGACATAAGGTGACTTCAATAAGAGAAGAACAGACTTTATCTAAGATCTCAAGGCAGTCTTTGATACCCTTCTCAAACTTGTCAAGAAAAGCGACTGCCTCCACAGTTGCGTCTGCAATCTTTTTCTGAAAACAAGGTAAAACGTTGTACTACTAAGTTACATGAGTGATGGAACTAACATGAAGAAATAGGATAGCTTAATCTGTAAGTGCAAAGATGACACCACAATATAGTACTGCAGAAGATAAACCAAGAGACAAAATAGATACAAGCAAACACTATGCTTTATTAGAAATCATCTTTAAACAATCTATTACAAGATCTGCTTATCAGCTTTACACAGCCTGTTAACACCCTAACAGCTGCTACTGAAAGATTCCTAATCTACCCAAACTTGTCTCT